CTTCCTCGACTCATACAATGTATACATTACATAAATTGTTTCGAGTTTGTTTTTAAAGTTAACACCCCACCTACTTGAAAGTAAGGACAATGAACTGTTTTACAAAGAAATGAAACGGAACTTCTCACCAATACAATATTTGGGACATTATGAGACTAAAATACTATTATTTTGTGTATGCTCACGTATGTAATGAAATGCGAGTGGGGAGAATTTTGTCCGCACAGCAAAGTTTCCGTATGTTTTAACGTATTCCCTGTACATGTATGTACTCTAGACGTACAATGTAATTTATCAACTATGTACTCTATACGTCCAATATCATTTATAGACTATGTACTCTATACGTCCAATATCATTTATAGACTATGTACTCTATACGTCCAATATCATTTATAGACTATGTACTCTATACGTCCAATATCATTTATAGACTATGTACTCTATACGTCCAATATCATTTATAGACTATGTACTCTATACGTACAATATCATTTATAGACTATGTACTCTATACGTCCAATATCGTTTATAGACTATGTACTCTATACGTCCAATATCATTTATAGACTATGTACTCTATACGTCCAATATCATTTATAGACTATGTACTCTATACGTACAATATCATTTATAGACTATGTACTCTATACGTACAATATCATTTATCAACTATGTACTCTAGACGTACAATATCATTTATAGACTATGTACTCTATACGTACAATATCGTTTATATCGTATATTAAGTAAAATACCATTTACAAACTGTGGGGTATCACGTGTGATATATACATGTACGTACTAAATATTGTATATCACGTACAATATCATTCATACTAACTACAGTATAGACTGTGAGGCATACATAAATATTGTATATTTAGGCACAATATCATTTATAAACTTTGTGAAATATAAATATTTTATATTATAAACTTTGTGAAATATAAATATTTTATATTATTTTCTTTATAAATATTGTATGTTATATTAGATATTGTATAAATGGTATGTTTATATCCCATGGTATTTAAATATAATATGTAAAACGAGATATTCTGGTTTTGAAATGACATGTAGTACTTGTTCTATATTTCAACAAGATTGTGTTAAGTTTAATGGATGTAACTGTATATATTATATCCTCTACTCCACATTCACATGACCTGTTTAACCAAGTCAAAAACTCTTATTCTAATAATCGCTTGTGTCTCTCAAAAATATAGAATTCTGAATTTAATAACACATCAATACTTAGTTCTTGAGTTCGAATTAGAGAGAGATAAGAAAATGGGTTTTAACGTCCGCTCGACACAAACTACATGTAGGTCAACTCGGGGATTAAATTTCGGTATAATTTTATTTCAATAATTCTCTCACGCCTAGGGGTTTTTATCAGTGGGAGGATACCGGAGGGCCTAGAGAATATCCACGGGGTTGGGCTGGCGATTCTACTGGTTGTCACGTACACACGTGTGTGATCGAAACCAGGTCATTTTACTAGATGACAGATCTTATGATCTAAAGCGTGCGTCCAGAATTCGATTTAGTATTTTCTAAAACCGTTTAAAGCAACTCGCATGCATATTACACGCTTTTATCTGAAGATGGCCTGGATATACAATGAAAGAAGGTTTATTTATAAAACTGTTTAAATATGTGAATGTAAAGTTTATAGGTGGACCGTATAAAGGTCGGGAATAGTCGTAACACTGGTTCTTGTACAAATAAAACGACCATCTATATATATACATGTACATCAGACATGATTGTAAGCTTATATACAAGTACATATACAGCTTTCAAGGGACAGTAAGATTACAAAATAAATTGGGTTTAACGTCCTACTGTTGTGCCCCCACTGAATTAATGAAGACGGGCATGCGCCATCCAATGTACAGTGTGCTATGAGGGAAATTTGCCCGAACGAATTTCGATTTGCAAGGGATCATTTACGTACTCAGGAACTCAAACTCCAACTGTCGTGGGTTCTTTTACGTGCACACCAATGTGTAAAAAGTAAGCTTAGATGCATGTAGAATACAGTAGGTGTATAAGTACGCGTAAAGAGATGTTACAGCCTTAAAGGAACAATGCGTTGACAGTGGATATTTTTCTTTTGCCAAAGAATGTGCCGGATTAAAACACCGACGTTGGCCAAGAAGAACCTTTGTGTCGAGTGATATTTACCCCCCCCCCCCCCTCTCCCCCTCTCGCTCTTCTCTCTCTCTCTCTCTCTCTCTCTCTATCTCTCTCTCTCTCTACATGTGTATCTATGCATGTATAATTCACTGAGTTTACACTGTGTAGTTAAATGAGAAAACACTTGAAGTATATTGTGTGTACTATTAACGTGTATACAATAAAGATATGTTCCGGTAGAATTATAACGACATAAAACCTGTACATGTATGCATGAATAACAAATATCGTAATGTCCTAGTTCACGATCTATTGTAAAATATATACGATATAATGACGTGATTGTTGTTAAGTCATTCATTATTATATTGGTATAATATTAAGATGTACGGAACAGGGCATACTTACATGTACTCCATCTAGAAAGGGAGAGAGAGGGAGAAATGGGGTTTAGCGTACACTCGACACAAACTACGTCATTGGTTCTATTTTATTTCAATAATTCCCTTGTGCGTAGGGGTCTTTAGCAGTGGGAGGAAACCGGAGGACCCGGAGAAAACCCACGAGGTTGGACAGACGACCCTACTCCTTGTCACGTACAACCGTGGATTCGAAACCCCGCCAGTTGACTCAATCACGGACCTTATGATACAGAACGCACTTGCTAACCATTCGGCCATCCAACCCCTCTAGACAGGAGCCACGATGGACGATTCAGTGTCTCAGTGAGCATAGACGCTTCAGTGTCTCAGTGAGTATAGACGCTGCCGTGTCTCAGTGAGCATAGGCGCTGCTTGGCTAATCAGGTGATACCGGGTTTGATCCCAGTGCGGACTGATCACTCTTGTCATAGATGCAGGGTAGGCAGAGAAGATCGTCTAAGCGTTCAGATTCGAAAAGAACCCCACGGAAACCCGTGTGGATTATTGATAGTACGTTAAAGATCCCTGGCCAGTTGGAAATCGAAATACACGTTCATGTAAGAAGAGTAGGCCATACGCCCATAGCGCTGCTGTCGGTGCATATTTCTCCCCATAGAACACCGCTTGACGTATTCTTGTGAAAAATAGGACGTTAAACCCCATTGCATGACTCTTTTGTCGAGAAGGTCTAATATCACTACTCCTGTTATTAAGGATGTACAAGTACACCCAATAACCGTTATTATACGCACCTATCTTAGATAATATAATATGTGACAATTGAAACCCAGTCATGCTTTCATTGAATATTCACAATGTCATATCGGCTAAATGATCTTTTAATTGTTGATAAAGAATTGAGTGTTGTGTGAAATGTTGACAGTTTTTTATAACTGAAAAATCCTTCTTACCACCATATATTTTAATTCATTTCGCGTTGAGAAAGTTGTAATATATATCATGTCATGAATTGAAAGCTGTAAAAGTTATATATTTGAACTCATTTCGTGAAAAGAAAGTTATATAACCATGTAAAACTCATACTGTAACTTTAATACAATACAATTTAAACTGTACAATCATCGCCACGGTTATTTCACAGAGTAGATGTTTGTGGTTAAAATAAGATGTCAAGGAGTTCCTTCATTTCACAACCACCACTAGGGTTTTATTCAATATCCGGTGGGACGAGAAGGAAAGGAGTTGCCATTGAATGAACAATACGATGAATAATGAATTTAAATATAAACGGACGCTAAACGGATAGGAGTTCCCTGTTCTTTCATTCAACGAATCATTCTTAATGAATCGAATGCTGGGAAATTTTTATTTCGTCCAATATATGAAGTAAATTTCAAATCATTTACGTAACCAGTCTGTGTAGATTAAAAGAAATCGAAAGTAGATCTACGGAAAAGCCAACCGTACCCTTTCTTCCCTTTAGACGTATTAAAGGATTGTTTGTGTGTGAGGTTGCTTTGAGTTGAACCCAAGAAACCTGGAAGTATCAAATAGCTTAAAGAGTAATGGACGTGTGCTAGTACGTCATTCATAAAGTTTGTCGATTATATTTCTTACTTAATGAATGAAATATAGGCTCGTTTCTTGTCCATTTAACACAACTAGGTCATTTTGGGACTAACACGAGTTTTAGTTGGCTTTACTACAAAAACAAAAAATTATTCTGACGTGTAGGTGGTATTCAGTTATTTATAGATACACGGTTTTAAATGTTTGTTTAAGGGTTTTTTTATACGCTTTATTTTATACTCTCAAATTATCGCTGCGAGTTAAACTAACTATAAATTAAATTGTCGAAACATTTGTAAAAATAAAATTTAGTGAGAATATTTTTTATAATGTAGACAAGCTTAATTAGTAACTATATATATCCTTATTTTATAATTAATTAACCTAGCTCTGGGCAAACCCTAAAACTTTGTTAATCAATTTATTTTTCTGGCGTTTTATATATGAACCGGATATATTCGAATATGCAACTTTATTGTTGTTTAAATAAATGAGCGTCTTAAATGATATTCTGTATATTATACTTGGTCATTTCGGGACTAGGATAAAACAAATACCCCCCCCCCCCCCAAAAAAAAAAACCCCAAAACCCCCAAAACACATACATTAAAGCTTCCGATTGGTCGTAATATATATGAATATTGTGTCCTGTTCGTGGGTTTGTCTTGTGTAATTGTTTATGTGTGGTGCGATCCTTGTACACTTACTATTTGTTACGTCCAAGTAAATTTATAAATAAAAGCTTGGCAGGATACAATCCAAACAAAATAAAAAAATATGTAAAATAGGGTCAAAGTGTAAGAGAGAACAAAAACTTTAATTAATTGACCCGAAAAGGTGTTAATTAATAAACTTGAGTTACTTTTACGGTTAAAAAGAAAATTGAAAATTTTTGTAACTTACCAACTTGTTGCTTGGTCTATATGTTGTGAAACAGCATAACCAAACATACTTCCAGTCTCTCCAGCATGTATCAAAGGTGAATCGACATCAACGTTATAACCCGATGCCAGGTTCGTCCATATTCCAAGAACACATAGTAGAACCATAGTCCCAATGGAACTCGACCCCATTCTTACTCCTTTCAAACTTTTAAAACAGCTAAATCCTAAACTTAAACTTAGTGACGACATCTTTACAATATTAGAACAAATGAAAAAAACTAAATTATAAAAACTCCTTCTAATGAAAAACACACTCAAATCCCAACTATAGCACCATAATCTTTGTAACTAGTTTAGAAAAATCACTTAACAAAATCACTCCTAGCCTCTCTCTACTCCAAAGTAAATGGCCAACTTCTATGTCAGGTTAAGTCCAATATCACGCGTAAAGGGGTGTTGGGTGTTTTTGACAGCTGTACCCATTCAACGATGCGAGCGCCCAAACTACCATAAAAGTAGTAACAGGAGCCTCGTAGCTCTCGCGCGAGCGGTTCGTGAGTCACAGAGGTTTGGAATTTACTAACAGTAGCTAACGGTAAATAGCTGATCCCCCAACAACGTACGAAGGCACGAGATGATATTCACCGATATAGAAAAACGTATCCCGTTTGCCCTCGTTCAGTTTACATGGACCGATCTATTTTTATGAAGGGGTGTAAGCTACGCCAATATGATTGTTATTACACAGTTATGAGTTAACTATTGCACCTTTAACTGTTAACTCACGCATGTAAACAAACAATGGTGGGAACACCATCATAATAATAGGATGGGGAAAGGTGTGACTTTGAATAACGTATATATTTTAAAATAGTTTAATAAATACTTATATGGTATTAACGAATCCGTTTTGACCTTTCTATTTTATTTATAATATAACATAGTAATTGTTGTAGAGAGAGAGAGAGAGTGGGGTTTAACGTCCACTCAACAAAAATTGGTCATTTCGGGACTAACACATGGTTCAATTTTATTTCAACAATTCGCTTGCGCGTAGGGGTCATTAGCAGTGGGGGGAAACCGGGAGGCCCAGAGAAAACCCACGAGTTTGGACAGGCAACCCTACTCCTTGTCACGTACAACCGGGGAATCGGAACCCCGCCAGTTGACTCAATGACAGACCCTATGATACAGCGCGCGCATGCTAACCATTCGGCCATCCATCCTCCCTAATTGCAGGGGGACCTCACCACACACAAACAAGGGACATGACGACATGTGGCTAAGTTCAACCACGGAGTCTCGATAGGAAAACTAAAACTTGCGGCATGCTTCGTTACTCGTAATCATTGATATTTTCAGTGTTAAATAAAATCGGAAACTATTAGTTTCAAGAAACCCACCTCACGAAAAATGTATAACAATTTTTTTTGACGGCTATATAGATATGGACGAAAACCAACAGAAAGTTAAATCAAGTGTACTTTAAAAGACAATTATTTTGATCATGTTTCCTATGTAGATTCAACAATGATAGAAAAATTCAATATTAGATTGTTCAAATATGCCTCAGAAACAAATACAAAAGGTAGCAAGATACCTGTATGCGCAGAAATGGGATGCCCACCAATTGAAAGCTTTATTAGAAGTTTAGCACTAAAAAAACTATGAAAGAATGAAAAACATATTACCTACTTAACAAGACATGCCTTAAATGAAAATGAAAACATGCATGCAAAAGGGAGACAAAGTTGATTTTCATTTATCAACAATTGTGAATATATAAAATAAAATTTAAACTTAAAAACATACTATAATAATTTATTGTCCAAAAAACATAAATACTAATAAAAGTATAGATGGAACTTCTTTAAATCAGCTAAAAACATATGGAAATATTAAAGAATTATATAAATTATGAAAATTATTTAGATATGATAAAAACTCGAAAACACAGAAAAAAACAATAACAAATATAAGAATAAGTGCACCTAAATTGAAAATTGAAACAGGTAGAGAGATAAAATGAAACGAAATGTGATGCGGTTTAACGTTCTATAAACTGTGCTGCTCCGAACTAGGCTAATGAAGACGGGCATACGCCGTACAGTGTGCTATGAAGGAAATTTTGCCCGGACAGCGGCACTATATTGAATTCAAACTGTCAAGGGATCTTTAAAATGGACACAAATCTGTACACGGGACCTCGGTTTTTCGTCCCATTCGAACGACTAGACATCTGTCCTTGTCAGGCCCTCCGTCCTGCATCACTGACAAGGGGAACCACGCCGGAAAATCTAGATGAACTTTCTCGGCCAATGCGGGGATCGGACACCCGACCTTCAGGCTAGCGAGCCAGCGTCTTACCCGCTTAGCCACCGCGAGCCCCCTAGATAGATAAAGTTACAGGTATTAGATTATTTATGTATAATGTTTTTGTTTTTTTTTGTTTTTTTTTAATGCCCCGCGCTTTGCCCAGGGTCGTACCTAGCGGGGGTGCAGGGGGTACATTGCACCCCCAGAAATGAAATGAAATGAAATGGGGTTTAACGTCCTACTGTCCTGTTGTCTGCGATATCGCCTCGGTGGAAGCGGACGTTAAAGAAAACTATTTCACAACCAACACACACACTGTTCTGCTCCTAAACTGGGCTAATGAAGACAGGCATACGCCATACAGTGTGCTCTGAGGGAACTTTTGTCCGGGCAGCGGCACTATCGCCTACTCTTATATCGAATTCCAACTGCCAAGGGATCTTTTAAGTGCACGCCAATGTATACACGGGACCTGGATTTTTCGTCCCACCCGAAGGACTAGACAGCTGTCCTTGTCAGGCCCTCCGTTCTGCACCACTGACAAGGGGAAACCACGTCGGAAAATCCCGATGAAGTTTCTCGGCCAATGCAGGGATTGAACACCCGACCTCCAGGCTAGCGAGCCAGTGTCTTACCCACTTAGCCACCGTGGCTCCACACCCTCAGAAAAATAAGGCGCCCGAGAAATGGTGCCCCCCCCCCTTTCAATTATATAATAATACACAATGATGCTCTGAAGGCACTGATCAGTTGGTCGCTTTTAAGGGCGCCCAGACGCCAATGAGTACGTGGTTCGTTTGACCAGATCCAAACTTTCTTATATCGCTTATGTGGAGGCTATGGGGCGCCACCACTGGCGTGGATCCAGGGGGGGGGGGGTACCAGGAGCAAAGGCCCCTCCTAAAAACTCTGCCGCCCCTGAAATATGGTGCCTCTGAAAACAAATCAACCATATAAAATACACCAGAGTGGCCGAAAACAGTGTTTCTAGCAGTTTTATTATTCAAACTTTTCTGAGAGCGCACCACCATAATGCCGCCCCATAGGCGAAGTGCCACCACATGACATTAGAGGGCTCGCATGACATTATTAGAGATTTTCGTTCTGGTCGTATATCCACGTGGTCTTATTGGTGTTTCGGACAGTGTGTTTGAGGCGCCGCCAACAATACTATACAAATTACGCATTGCTATTTGTATGGAGTGAGGCATAGGCCAGTCACATTTTTTTTATTACTTTGTAGTTAAAACTGTAATCAGGTAGTGACTCATGGTCTGGATTCTGTCATCACATTCAAATTATAAGATCAGTATACGTTCATCTTGATGTCTAGTTTTCATCTATTCATGAAGTACCTGGTGAATAGTTGTAGCTTAGAGGACAAGAAATTTCTCATTTTGGTGTGTTTCACATCAAAATGAGAAATAGCGCCGCCGAAATTGACACACGGGATCCCTTACAAGCGACTTTGATTGCGGCTCCAAGTGCGTGGAAAACGCGTTTGTGGCAGTCTAATTTTCAAAATTTTCTGGCGCCCCACCACTCTGATGCTATCGAAGCCTATAACTACCATTCATAATTTCTATTTTTCGCCTCTTCAAAAGACGAAAGTCGAAAAGTAGAAGTTACGACAAAATGTGAGATGACAAAACGCTATACAAGCCAAAATCAACTCGAAAATAGGAAATTAAGAAATAACACACCGCGATAATAGCGCCCCTCGTTTTTTCCTAATTTCTTGTTTTCGACTTGCATTTTGGCTTGTATACCGTCTTGTCGACTTTCGACTTAGTCATATTTTTGTATTTATTGATGTCAGTAAGAAGGCGCCAACACGCTATACAAGCCAAAATGCAACTCGAAAAGTAGAAATTAACACACCACGCTATTAGCGACTTTTCGACTTGTCCTTGTCAGCCCCCTCCCCCCCCCCCCCCCCCCCGTCCTGCATCTCTGACAAGTTGGAATCCGCCGGAAAATCTGGATGAACTTTTTCGGCCAATGCAGGGATCGAACACCCAACCTCCAGGCTGGCTTAACATTCACTCGTTGCAAACTAAATCATTTCAATAATTCGTTTGCACGTAGGGGTCTTTAGCAGTAGATAGAAGCTGGGGTATCCGGAGAAAACCCACAAGGTTGGACAAGCGACCCTACTCCCTTGTCATGTTTAAGCGGGGATTCGAAACCACACCACTTGAATCAATGTCAGACCTTGTGATTTCACGCGGACGTGTTAAACCACTAGACCACCCAATCCCCACGTATGTTGTTGTATATTATATATATCGGTACGGGAAATTTGTTTTATAATAGGCCTATATAATAAATTAAATTGTTGTAGCCTAAGATGTGTTTTTTTTATCAGACATTTTTGGCAGATAAAATATCCCAGTTGGCGGAAAAAAAATATGAACATTTTTTTTTATATAAAAATTATTATCCATTTTGACGGAAAAGAATGAAATACAGTGTGAGACCTGATTGCAGGTATTCAAATGCGACCTGGAAAACTGAGACTACAACAACTTCCGAGGCGAAAAGTCGAAAAGTCGCTAATAGCGTGGTGTGTTAATTTCCTAATTTCTACTTTTCGAGTTGCATTTTGGCTTGTATAGCGTGTTGGCACCCTCTTACTGACATCAATAAATACAAAAATATGACTAAGTCGACAAGACGGTATACAAGCCAAAATGCAAGTCGAAAATAAGAAATTAGGAAAAAACGAGGGGCGCTATTATCGCTGTGTGTTATTTCTTAATTTCATATTTTCGAGTTGATTTTGTCTTGTATAGCGTGTTGTCGCGTCACATTTTGTCGTAACTTCTGCTTTTCGACTTTCGTGTTTTGAAGAGGAGAAAAGTAGAAATTATGAATGGTAGTTATAGGCTTCCATAGATGCACCCCCACTTTTAAAATTCTGCATACAGCCCTGGCTTTGCCATAGTGCCTCGGTTATCCACCTCTGAATGGTTATAGGAGGCAGACCACCATTAAATTTCACTATCTCATCTCGGTACCCACAAATTGTAATTCGTCTATTTATAGCAATTCTCTCTATGGTTATAGCGATTCTCCATATGTCCCTTTTCCGCCCTTTTG